TTTGTTACCATGGCAACTGAGCTATTCGAAACTGTTACCATTGTGTTCGGCATCCCTTAAAACCCTTATGTACCAATTCTAGGCAGAATCAGACAACATATAAATTTCGACCAATCAGAGGACTCCATTTTGTTACCATGGCAACTGAGCTATTCGAAACTGTTACCATTGTGCTCGGCATCCCTTAAAACCCTTATGTACCAAATCTAGGCAGAATCAGACAACATCTAAATTTCGACCAATCAGAGGCCTCCATTTCGTTACCATGGCAACTGACCTTTTCAAAACTGTTACCATTGTGTTTGGCATCCCTAAAAACCCTTATGTACCAATTCTAGGCAGAATCAGACAACATATAAATTTCGACCAATCAGAGGCCTCCATTTCGTTACCATTGCAACTGAACTTTTCGAAACTGTTACCATTGTGTTCGGAATCCCTGAAAACCCCTATGTACCAATTTTGGGTAGAATCAGACAACAGCTAAATTTCGACCAGTCAGAGACCTCCATTTTCGACCAATCAGAGGCCTCCATTTCGTTACCATGACAACTGAGCTGTTCAAAACTGTTTCCATTGTTTTCGGCAGCCCTGAAAACCTTTATGTACCAATTTTCAAGTTCATGGCTGAAAAATACAGATGTCCGTATTCACTAGTGTATTGTTTGGGGGACTTAATAAGGATAAGCCCATCCAGTCTCTGTTTTTTGTTTTACCCAGATTCTCCTACCGTCTGGTCGTCCTCGTTTTACATCTCGGCAGTAAGATCCAGCCATAGTTCAGGACTCTCTTCTTCAAGTTCCTTTCCCCACTTTTCATGTATCCACATGTACATGTGGATTACTTGCTCTCAGTCAATGTTAACATCACACCACAATGAGGGAGGAAACCTGAGTACTCGGAGAAAACCCACGTGATCGGGCAGCTGACACTATACTTTTTCACATCCGATAGGGGAATCGAACCCCGGCCGCCTTGTTGAAAGGCGAGTGCATGGTCTCTTGGGAAATTAGAATCAGCTTGCACTTGGATCATAACGTGGATGTACATGTATGACCCGTATAAGATACCCATCAAGATTGTTGTCCGGATGTGCACATCTATCTAATCAACCGTCTTTAATTCGTCTTAATACAATTTGATTTGCTATGGTTCATTTTAACACTGTCCTTGTACAAATAGCGTCTGCAGACATTGCATGGAAACGCGGGTCCTTGTCGAATAGCCGCCTGAAAATCTCATACATACTACAACGCTCTACTGACTTCCTAGATCTGCGTGTTTGCCTCCTTTTAATAGGAAGCAATGTATGCTGTGCTTTCCTCAGAGGACACGGACAGTATATCGTGCTTCACTGTAAACGTTATCAAAAGTCTATCGTGCTTTACCGTAAACGTTATAAACAGTCTATCGTGCTTCACCGTAAACGTTATAAACAGTCTATTGTGCTTCACAACCAACGTAAAAAACAGTCTATCGTGCTTCACCGTAAACGTTATATACAGTCTATCGTCAAACGTTATAGACAGTCTATCGTGCTTCACCGTAAACGTTATCAACAGTCTATCGTGCTTCACCGTAAACGTTATAAACAGTCTATCGTGCTTCACCGTAAACGTTATAAACAGTCTATCGTGCTTCACCGTAAACGTTATAAACAGTCTATCGTGCTTCACCGTAAACGTTATAAACAGTCTATCGTGCTTCACCGTAAACGTTATAAACAGTCTATCGTGCTTCACCGTAAACGTTATAAACAGTCTATCGTGCTTCACCGTAAACGTTATAAACAGTCTATCGTGCTTCACCGTAAACGTTATAAACAGTCTATCGTGCTTCACCGTAAACGTTATAAACAGTCTATCGTGCTTCACCGTAAACGTTATAAACAGTCTATCGTGCTTCACCGTAAACGTTATAAACAGTCTATCGTGCTTCACCGTAAACGTTATAAACAGTCTATCGTGCTTCACCGTAAACGTTATAAACAGTCTATCGTGCTTCACCGTAAACGTTATAAACAGTCTATCGTGCTTCACCGTAAACGTTATAAACAGTCTATCGTGCTTCACCGTAAACGTTATAAACAGTCTATCGTGCTTCACCGTAAACGTTATAAACAGTCTATCGTGCTTCACCGTAAACGTTATAAACAGTCTATCGTGCTTCACCGTAAACGTTATAAACAGTCTATCGTGCTTCACCGTAAACGTTATAAACAGTCTATCGTGCTTCACCGTAAACGTTATAAACAGTCTATCGTGCTTCACCGTAAACGTTATAAACAGTCTATCGTGCTTCACCGTAAACGTTATAAACAGTCTATCGTGCTTCACCGTAAACGTTATAAACAGTCTATCGTGCTTCACCGTAAACGTTATAAACAGTCTATCGTGCTTCACCGTAAACGTTATAAACAGTCTATCGTGCTTCACCGTAAACGTTATAAACAGTCTATCGTGCTTCACCGTAAACGTTATAAACAGTCTATCGTGCTTCACCGTAAACGTTATAAACAGTCTATCGTGCTTCACCGTAAACGTTATAAACAGTCTATCGTGCTTCACCGTAAACGTTATAAACAGTCTATCGTGCTTCACCGTAAACGTTATAAACAGTCTATCGTGCTTCACCGTAAACGTTATAAACAGTCTATCGTGCTTCACCGTAAACGTTATAAACAGTCTATCGTGCTTCACCGTAAACGTTATAAACAGTCTATCGTGCTTCACCGTAAACGTTATAAACAGTCTATCGTGCTTCACCGTAAACGTTATAAACAGTCTATCGTGCTTCACCGTAAACGTTATAAACAGTCTATCGTGCTTCACCGTAAACGTTATAAACAGTCTATCGTGCTTCACCGTAAACGTTATAAACAGTCTATCGTGCTTCACCGTAAACGTTATAAACAGTCTATCGTGCTTCACCGTAAACGTTATAAACAGTCTATCGTGCTTCACCGTAAACGTTATAAACAGTCTATCGTGCTTCACCGTAAACGTTATAAACAGTCTATCGTGCTTCACCGTAAACGTTATAAACAGTCTATCGTGCTTCACCGTAAACGTTATAAACAGTCTATCGTGCTTCACCGTAAACGTTATAAACAGTCTATCGTGCTTCACCGTAAACGTTATAAACAGTCTATCGTGCTTCACCGTAAACGTTATAAACAGTCTATCGTGCTTCACCACAAAGGTAACAAACAGTATATCGTGCCTCACCGGAAACTTTATAAACAGTCTATCGTCAAACGTTATCAACAGTCTATCGTGCTTCACCGTTAACGTTATAAACAATCTATCGTGCTTCACCGTAAACGTTATAAACAGTCTATCGTGCTTCACCGTACACGTTATAAACAGTCTATCGTGCTTCACCGTAAACGTTATTAACAGTCTATCGTGCTTCACCGTAAACGTTATAAACAGTCTATCGTGCTTCACCGAAAATGTTATAAACAGTCTGTCGTGCTTCACCGTAAACGTTATAAACAGTCTATCGTGCTTCACCGTAAACGTTATAAACAGTCTATCGTGCACGCCGGAAACGTTATAAACAGGCTATCGTGCTTCACCGTAAGCGTTATAAACAGTCTATCGTGCCTCACCGTAAACGTTATAAACAGTCTATCGTGCTTCACCGTACACGTTATAAACAGTCTATCGTGCTTCACCGAAAATGTTATAAACAGTCTGACGTGCTTCACCGTAAACGTTATAAACAGGATATCGTGCTTCGAGGTAAACGTTATAAACAGCCTATCGTGCTTCACCGTAAACGTTATAAACAGTCTATCGTCCTTCACCGTAAACGTTATAAACATTCTATCGTGCTTCACCGTAAACATTATAAACAGTCTATCGTGCACGCCGGAAACGTTATAAACAGTCTATCGGGCTTCACCGTAAACGTTATAAACAGTCTATCGTGATTCACCGTAAACGTTATAAACAGTCTATCGTGATTCACCGTAAACGTTATAAACAGTCTATCGTGCTCGGCGGAAACGTTATAAACAGTCTATCGTGCTTCACCGTACACGTTATAAACAGTTTATCGTGTTCTCTTTCTTGGTCCTGTTCAAAAGCTATGGACAGAATGGTAACCATTGTCCTTTTGACCATTTCTTTTCACAGCAGAGAGAGGAACATTCTTTAATCTGTTTTATTCCTGTTTTGTGTTTCACTTGTTCCTTCTTTTCTCCTTACAGCAGATAAGAGTCCTCATGTAATCTATCACCCACCAAAACCTGCCTCGTCCTCAAAACTAAACATTGTTCTGTTGTTTTTTCTCTGTGCATTGTTTTGCTATTTAGGGCTCGTGAAACTTCGCTAAAGGGTTTAGTTTTACATTATCCAAAGTTCTGCAATACTCTTTTTCTACTTCCTTCATAGCCGATTGAGATGAATAAATTCATTTTCATTCCGATTCATAGATACACGAGCAGTGTAGCTTCATGTCTTTTTGTTTAGGACTAATTCATAAAAAATCCGGAAGGTGCATTTTTCTTTTCAGCAATCTTTATCAATAATATAGCCATACCCGGGATAAAGTTTCCAATACATAGCTACATTGTTTTACCACCATTGGTACGAGAATCTTTAATGCGATATGACGAGGGGACTATATCTGGTAAACAATGATTTTACTTCTAAAGTCAAGTGGGATTTTAACCCTTTAACTTACACAAGTCCTTAACACGTCATGTATTACTCTCTAAACATCAGGATTGGTCAAAACAAGCCCACTGCTACTTTCCAGATCCCTGTGTGTCTTTCGACAACACTTTTACGTATTTTAGTGCCGACGTTAGTCTTCCAACACGGTGAACAATCAATGTTTGTTTTACCTATATTCTGTTTTGTCGATGTGCTGACCTCTACGAGTTCAATACACGTATATACGAAAGTAATCATGATTCAGATGTTTAAAAGAAATAATCTTATTCCAGTAATCCCGTTTTACTTTGTGCTCCGAGATTAACCTAATACATGGCACTGATCCGTTGTCGGGGACTGGGGTGATCAGTGCCGGGAAGGGTGTGATACAGAGGAGCTGATACTCTGAGGCGGTACTGGCGGGTGTGTACAGACTAGATACTTATATACAGACAACACAGTACTTATATAGATCAAATAGGTACAATGTCACCCCCGGGAATCACAAAGACGCCAGAAGGTATAATTACTTTTCATTTGATATTTAATTTGAACCTATTTGTGTCAAGTTTAGGATACCATTAATTGAATTTATTAAAATATTTATTTACTGTTTTTATTTTAGAAAACAATATTAGGTTTGTGTATTATGAACGGACTTATATAAGCAAACCATATATCTGCGGATCGGGGACAATTTTTAAGTAATATATATCATGATTTAGCGCTACAACATAGTATGTATACGATTGAAGTGAAACAAACTGTGTTTGATTTTCAGTGTTAATTCATAGCATAACTATATTCTACCATCTCTGGTAAATCCAGGGGTCTACAGTGTTTACGCCTCAGTGTGTGCTAACCCAGTAGGTGCGGGTTCGGCTCCTCGATTCGGGCACAAGTTGTGTCGGAGTTTAAAAACAGGATATCGGAAATAAAGGTAGAAATATTTCTTTATTTCTGAGAGAAGTCCTTGAAAAATATCGAAAGTCCACATCAAATATAGTGTTGTGTGTTTTTATATGAAATTATAATAACACAGTATAGAGAGCAGAAAAACCCCTCCGACAAATCACTGATGTTCTTCAAGTCATATATTTTTGGTAATTAATCAGGTAAAACCTCATGATTTATTGTTAGAATATCTGTACACAGACGCACATTGTTAAAGACAACATACACATAAAGTGAGAGTATGTAGGATTTTATAAAATGTTTTAAAATAATATTGAGTATGCTAGCATTTATAATAACAATGTATGCTAGTATTTTATGTTAGGATTAGAGTATATTTATTGTTGGTATTATTATTTCAGATTTAAGTATACATCTCTTTCAGTTACTTGTGATATAGATTTTTACTCTATATCACGAGTGACTATTCTCGAGACCTACGTAAGGAAGTCGCGATGTACTGTCCGTAGGTCGTCTGTTTTTCTCCGGGAACTCCGGCTTTCCTCCACCACCGAAACCAAAAGCACGTCCTTAAATGACCATAGCTGTTAATAGGACGTAAAACACAAACAAAGAAACAAATATTACTCTTCTGGATTTTTATGTTATCCTTCAAACGCAATAAATTCACCCGTATCACATCGAAGGCTATTTCGTCAGTAATTTCAATCAATATATTTAGATACAAATTCGAATAGATTTCTGGTCTTTTGGTGTTATCACTGGTCTTTAATGTAATGTATCGGATATCGTAATACATTATTTCATGATAAACAAGATTTACAGATATATGCCACTTGAAAACATTGTATCTGTGATATGTGTGTTGAAGATATATTCTACCTTACACATCATAAGTGAAATTTGTGTTAAGGTTATATAGATATTTTAGAATACTAGTGTACACTTTAATATAGCCTTAAAATCAGCTGCTAAAGTAACTAGAATCCATTTATTTGAACAAATGCGTATTTGAGTAATACAAACAGTAATAAAAGCCATAGACGGCCATTTACAAACTAAATTAGGTCTTGGTCTACCTCCAAATAAATCGAAATTTTAAAATGATGATTTTCTTACAAACCAAATAATACGAGATTGAATAACAGATTTTGGGTCATATATTGCTTATACAGAATGCAGACAAAATATCTCTTCATTTTCTGTCACTTCTTTCTCCCAAAATAATGAAACAAGGTTCGCTTTGTTATTTTCGTATCAAAGAAGCTATGTTATAGATATCTTAGATTAGTTGATGAGCTGTGTCTGACATGACTGCATTCAAGATTCGACCAATTGAGGGAAGTGATTACAAGAATCTTTTCAAAATTGTTTAAAAAACAAGATAACTTGTGTCATTACACGGCAATCAGGCATCGACAATTGGACTCTTCATAATTTCATTTTCACGACGGTATAGACCTTGTGTGTTTGTAATTATATGTCATTAAGTAAATAACCAGAGCGTGGCCAAACTAATGGCCGTGTAGGTAAGGTCAGTATTGTCATGTTCCCCGAAGATCAGGTAACATTAATAATATCACCCTCGAGGGTCAGGTAACATTAATAGTGTCACCCTCGGGGGTCAGGTAACATTAATATTGTCACCCTCGAGGGTCAGGTAACATTAATAGTGTTACCCTCGGGGGTCAGGTAACATTAATAGTGTTACCCTCGGGGGTCAGGTAACATTAATAGTGTCACCCTCGAGGGCCAGGTAACATTAATAGTGTTACCCTCGGGGGTCAGGTAACATTAATAGTGTTACCCTCGGGGGTCAGGTAACATTAATATTGTTACCCTCGGGGGTCAGATAACATTGATATTGTTACTCTCGGAGATCAGGTAACATTAATATTGTAACTCTCGGAGATCAGATAACATTAATATTGTCACCCTCGAGTGTCAGGTAACATTAATAGTGTTACCCTCGGGGGTCAGATAACATTAATAATGTTACCCTCGGGGATCAGGTAACATTAATATTGTTACCCGCGGAGTCAAGAAACATTAATATTGTAAATCCTGGTAGTCATGAACATATTACCTCAGTATTTTCAATCTCATGGATGAGGCACTATCAGTAGTTCCGACCCTTGGTGTCAGGGGTCACGTGTGGTATTTATTAGTGACACAAGAGTCAGCCCATTGGCCCCTGATCCTCGTTCACCATTATTTAATCGCCACACCGTTAATGTTCTCGGCTAAGTACACAATATGATTGCCTTTGTATTTGTATAAGAAATGAGCTGTGATTTATCATTAGAAATGTATGTTATTAAATCGCTGTATATATATATTAGAGCATTAATATTTCAATTGTGCTCGCCACACGACGGAAAGTAATTATGCTATTCAACAACACAGATTTTTAATACGGACATTTTTATTCTCGTTGTAGATGAAACGGTTTAAAGAAAATCAAACAGCTGTCGACAAAAATTTACCATCGGAAATTCAATATGAATGCCAAAATGGTGAGTTCCCTATTTAAGATTGACGGAGACAGTAACAAGCGGAAAACACTCAATACAATACGGGTCATGAAGGGAGCAATCAGTGTCTCGAAGAGTAAGACGGGAGAGGTCATTTATCGGAGCAACAAGCTTGAAAATGAAGGTCTTCAGCGTCAGATTAAAAGGTTCGAGAAAGCACGTCTGCATCTCAACAGTACATATGACTCAAAAAAGCGGACAACGCTCAGACGATGGGCTTTAGTGTTCGAAAAACAGAAATCCATGAATGAATCTATTCGAGAATTTGATATGCTACTTTCTCAGGCGATAGACAATGTGGAATCGGATGACCAAAACGTGCCAAGTGCCGAAAAAAACCGAGACAGTCTTGAACTGAAATTGGAGGACACAAAACCAGAAAATGAGGAAGAGGAGGATATGACGGAAAAGAAAAGTGATGAAGAGAAAGCTGCAGAGTTAATGAGTCGTCGTGGTATCACACGCTTAAGGCTACAGCCGATAGGAGTGGGCAAAAACTCTCAGATCAAGGTCAAAACACCGGAACCGGAAACGCCAGTGATAGAAGAAGAGTTGTGGCCCCTAGCGGATACCACATGGGTGAACAATTATATTCGTGAACAGAAAGTCAAACACGAGTCACTTATCACAAAAAACATTCTGAAAAAGATACGAGAAGGACTTACATCGAAAAATCCATTGTTCAGATTTCGACTTCGAGCTAACTTTGCTGACGACCCGAATGTTAGCATAGAAATCATAAAATCCGCACGAGCCGGTCCTCAGACGGCAAGGTCGGTGAAAACGGCGCCGACCATGCCGACGCTGCCAACAAGAAAGGATGTTATAAAACCGTCGACGACAATGAACGATTCGTCACTAAATCAGCTCCCGCCAATAAACATGCTCAGGCGCTCCAAAACCACTTTGTGAGGATTGCCCATCACAATGTTCTGTTTAAGCACGTATTTTGTCTGTGGATAATAGTAAAAACAGTTCGAGGTGACTAAATGATGACAGTGATAACAATTCGACTTCGCCATGGTGTATTTAAACTGCATGCGTACGTCGGATCACGAAAGTTCCATCCTCGTCATTTGATTGGAACATAAAAGAAATATAATCCCTAACTGAGCTTACTACAGAGATTGAATTCAAACGTTTAAATCAATGACGTCACTTAAATCGAGAAAAGCGAAATCATCAAGTTCGATCGGCCTAATAAATATTCATTAGAGTTGTGCGGTGTGATCTTCTGTGTACAGGGTAATGAATCATCCACCGGAAGTAGTCACGTCAAAGAGACAATTAAACAGTTCATATATAATTTTATTTTGTTTGGAATGCTACATTCCTATATGTTATATTGAAGATGTTTGTATATTTTGTCTGATTATTAGTCCTCACTTCATTACACAGCTAAGTATGACGTCAAAATATGTAGTGTACCACGTAATTGCGTACAACGCTATATAGCGTGTTGATAATCTGTCCTGACAGCACAGTTCAGCGGATGTCAATGATGTCCATGAATACGGACATCTGTATTGAATTAAAGTCTTCAACAAGACTTAATTATTCCTTTGCCAGCGATTCATACAGACATGATTTGAGTCACGATGCGAGGAGAACAGTTTTCTTGAGATTTAAAACTCCGGTGACGTGGTATGCGACATTATACCATGTTATGATGTCGTATAACAAGGTGAATATGATCATATTGTGTTACAATTATAATGATTGTTACTGAAGTATATATACCACATTATTTTCTTTAGGCGTATATGAATACATTCCCCTGGGATGACTCTTTTTTTACTTTATTGTTGAAATATAAATACCTTCGTTCAGCTGTTGTAATTAGCTATAGTTTTTAAGGCAGCTATGCAATACAACTGAATTTAGTTTGATAACGTTACAATAGAATTTCTGGCAAATTCCACTTGCGTAAATCCCAAGTTGTACCAATGTGTATGAAAAGGGAGAAATGTAAATATACGTATAAAGATTTATTATTGCCCTAGTGATATCGGATGATTACTTATTTGTCTTGAGTCAGTTTGTTAGTTGTTAGATTTGTTTTTAAACATTCGCTGAGGCACACCTAAAGAGCTTCTACTGCCAACTTGCCAATGACAATCGTTATAACACAACAAACATATTATATAAGGATAAAACGGATTATTGTTTTATGTTCATGCCGGTATGAACGCAAATATGATGCAAACATATAAACCATGAAGCCTGCCGTTCACTCCTCATATTTATATTCTAAATTTTACTTATTATTGACCTAAATATTCCCTTATGCTTTCGATAACGCCGTGTTTATGTCGCCAGTGCAAACGAGATTCATGGAACAGCCCAACGTCATCAAAATGTTTGCTTCTAAAGGTTGTCTCGTGTTATTCGAGGCGAGAGGAGAAGCTTCGAAATGACACTGATCCAACTGCGTTCATAGCCCTATGAATGCAATTACTTATGATAACGCCCATAGAGGAACTTGCAGTGGAAATGTAAATATATTTGATTGACCAATGACATTCACTGTAACAAATGGATTATAATACATCCCACATGTTTGTTCATAAAATAAAAAATGTGATAAGAACTATGGAATTTTATTTTGTTCGCAAGACATGGCTGATTACAAATATCGTGGAAGTCGTAACCGATTGACTTTTCTGGTAACGAGTCCTTGAATATGGGGCCTACGGCTTTAAAGTCCCATCCGGGGAACTATTCTGGTAACAATTGAGACGCGGGCCTTACGGCTGTGTGTCTTAACCGTGGAACCATTCTTGAAACAACTGACACTCAGACCCTACGGCTTTCGGTTCTATTCGAGGGATTTTTCTGGTAACAAGCCGTTGCTTTTCAAATTCTGTGGCTTTGCATCTTATTTCAAGATTATTGAAAATATTGCCGCAACCTTATACCCGGTATTGTTAACCATGAATGTTGTACGTACATATTCGTTTTAAAAGAAATTCTTGAGCTTACACGGACACTATCACACCATGTATTGTCAATGTCCTTACGTCTAGAAATACAATAACGTGATACAAAACAATAAATAAAGGAAATCGGCGGTTGTTCCCTTAGACACTTGTCTTTGACTCGGATGTCGCAAGGATGTTAAACTCGAACAAAAATAAATGATATAAAAACTTGATTAACTTATAGACATTCCTTAGGCCTGTCCTCTTTAATAATACGTGTGCGTCATCCACGTGCGTAGGTTTCGAGGTGCGGATGGATTTTCTTAAGCCAGTCAAGTATATAATACCTACTAAGAACGAAACCCAACAAAACAAAGTAGTAGCGCAATGTGATTACACAGGGACTTGAGAATTTGTTACAGCTATATTTGGACCTAAACTAAGGTGTTCAGAGTAATTTGACATATTCTAGGGTTTAAGATCAAATTTCGGTTAAAATGCCCTCGTATATATCATCATTGGGGAGGGTGGGGGGCATTTTTACCGAAAGTTGATATTAAACCCTAAGATATGTAAAATTACTGTGAACACCTTAGTTTCGGTCCAAATACATCCTCGATATTCAGGGGTTACGCTCACTTCCGCTCTCTGCTACCCTGGAATATGTCTTAGCAAAATTAAAGAATTAGTATGCGCCATCTTTTGGATAAGACAAGAAGACTAGTTTGTTTGTAATCTTCAAAGGGCAGTAATCAGCCTGGTCAGGTTGTTTCTTCAATTTTGCTATGACATATTCCAGGGGTGCCGAGGGCCAAATTGAGGGCATTGAGGTTGTACTCCTCCCGGTCACATTACACTGACAATAGGGTAACCAGTCATAGCCGTCTTCCTATCTAAAGCTGAGCGTCAAATAGCGACGAGTGCTAATTATCAGGACTTTAGTGTGTCTCTTTCAAGGGACAGAACCTTTAACAATCTCCATTTGGTCGAACGCACATTATCGAAGCTAAAGACAATGTACCGGCATTGCCAAGAAAGGCGTTACTGGAAACGAAGTCAAAACAAAAAAAAATCCAAATATTGCGATAAGTGTGGCAGATATATTCTCACACTTTCGTGTCCCAGAGTAGACTTAAGGGGCTCTCCCAAAAATTCACCTCTTACAAATGTCCTAAGCGGGTAAATTATTTTCTTAATCTCGACCTGCAAGGTAACTGCATGCTTCAACGAACAAAGGTACCAATAGTTGACACTCGCCAAGTGTATAATACTGACACTTCGTGTAAGTATGTATTAACCAGGAGGATTTAACGATGTAATTACTGTATATATAAACAGTTGGTTGATCCCTGACCCATTGCCAATCCTGTAAGGTAAAGCGCTTAGCACGTGTACTCAGAACTGCACCTGTAATATACCTTGATGAATACCTTTTGGTTCACTGATCGCGTTTCAATTCGTCTAAAACCTCTTCACAAAATAACGACATGCTCTTCCATGTGATATACGTCAAATAAGTACAAAACAAACACGGCTGAAAAACCATGCAAAGAATGTCTCAAACCCTCAATCGGGTGATCTTGTTTGGTTTAGCCCCGTTAGCTTCATTAGCTGTGATATAGCCAGTGGAAGCACGTGCCATTCAGGGAATCCTTTCACATTTTCCTTCAAGTTTTCTCCATCCAAGTCACTTCATGGATACTTAAGGAGCATATGTTAATGTTTGTTATTTCATTACTTATATGTTCAAGACCGACAATGCTATTTAACGAAGATTTCACCTATGGTCATAGTTTACATTGTAGAACACTACTAACACAATGTGTCTTTCCTTATTTAGTTTGATACTCCTGCAGGTTCAACGTCCTATCAACAGCTAAGGTAATTTAAGGCCCGGTCACAACCCACCGTGCGTGTTTTTTGTCCGTACGTTTTTTGGGAAGAACGTTGGGAGGGAGTGGCAAGAGCAGGGAGAGAGTACGTCAACGCACGTCACTCGCACGGTTGCGCAAGGTGTAAGCACGTGGCCTGGCCCTGAGCGGTTGCGTGCATCGTACGGAGGCCGTACTTACACGTGCTGCTCACGTACGGTGTCCTTACCCACTCGCATGTTGTAAGTGCGTGGAAGTGCGATGAACGTGAGTTTTTCCGCCCAATGTCGCTCGGCTTTTATATATACTGCAGAAATCAGTGCGCACAACGTGCGTTGTAAGTGCGGAGCACGTGCTTACTCGGTACGGTCCGCGTCAGTTCTGCGTGCTCATTGGACAGTAGAACTGGGGAAGTGCCGGGTAAGCACAGACCACGCACTTATCACGTGCGCAGCACGCACATGCTAAGTGCGCCGTCCGTAGAGCAAGTGACCATGGGAAAAATTTAAAAGACTCACGGAGTCAGTGCGTTGTGCGCTCATTGACTGTAGAAGGCACGCGCGTCACCCGTACTTGGGTGAATCCGTAGCCCGACCGCATCCCGAACGCAGCGAAAGTTCCTCATGCACTAAAAGTGCTACGGCGTGTCTGCGTGCTCCCAAATCCGTACTGAGGCGGTACTCATCACGTACGGATCCCCAAATTTTGCCCACGTTTTTGCAAGTAGACAGCACGCACTTGCAAGTACGGCGGGTTGTGACCACGACTTTAAGGACGTGCCTCCGTGTGTGGTGTGTATGCGTGCGTGCATGCCGGAGACAGGTTAAGCGCAGATCTTGTGCCGACTATCTCACTGATAGCATGTTATCGTCAAAGTCGACTAACATTGATCCCCCTTGCTCAGTCGTTTTTTTTTTTCCTCTTCTGTGTTTTCTCCTTTGAATATTGACGAAACCAGAACTGACCTGTTTCCCGAAACACTTTGCAACTAGCGTATATATGTTTTTAGAATCCCTCCCTTTTTGTTTTCGGCGATGTCTCCCTAGGTTGAGGGTACCCAAAATGGAATGATACCCAGTATGGAACGCTATTAATATATATGATGCAGCCTTTTTTTTTATTATTCCGCAATGCAAATAAATTGTATGTTATTCTTAATAAAAGTTTATATAGTTTGAAGTATTTTGAACACAACATTCCATTTTGGTACCCTCGCCCTAGGGGGACATCACCGAAAACAAAAGGGAGGGATATTTGTTCAAACGATTTTTATTTTTTTTTATAAATTAATGACTAAAAATTTCTCAGATATTGTCAAAACTTATTTGAAATGAAAGAACCCAAACATTTTAAATGTTGTCAGATAATGCTTTATGAGGTGTTCCATGTTTGGTACTCGGTCAGCTTAAACTTCCAAATGATTCTGACTCACCAAAATGTTCTCTTTAAAAAGACACGCGCACTGTTGATATCCATGAAATACATAAAATGAAGGATAAAGGCATGTATTGTTTCATTACAGTACAAGATTTGGTGTTTCAGTAACTAAATAGGAAATATTAATATTTTTTCTTTTAAACGTGTTCCATTTTGGGTACCCTCACCCTAGGCACCCGCTTTCATTTGACCTTGGCTATTTCGAAAACGCTAAATCACACAATATATATATATATATATATATATATATTGAAGACATATGATGAGTCCATAAAAAATTTCCTGCACCGACATGAGCCAAGGAAAAATACCTTAATCAATGAAATCAATGAAATCTACTGTTAAGCATTGGTAAATGTTTCACTAGTTTAACAGCTAGGTACGAGGATTTGACAAAGGCCCATGATCAGCTGTGTTGCAAAGAAAAAATGAGACCAACATATTTTGTGGATGGATACATACAATCTACCGACAAAAACCCTCAAATATTTTCACCAATATCTTATTTAATTCCAATTTATTCCATTGTCACAACGAAAATATGTCCTCAGTATTTAAAAATAAGGCAGACTTTAAGACAAGAGGTTTTGGTTTGGTTTATAGCTAAGCGTCCTATGAACACATGTATGCGTATGTGGTCGAGCCGATATGTTGGTGTATTTGTCACCTTGCGATAGCGCAATGCTGGACATCTAACGGGAGAACAAGGAATATCATATAAAGGACCTTGACATGCCCCGAGAGAAACAAGAATCTGCTGAATATTAATTAAAATCTCTAAAGCTGAATCGACAAGACACGCCCTCAATAGACGGTCCTCGGCGTGTCTATGGCTGCCTACCTCCACCAGATGTACCTGGGTGACTACCTCCACCAGATGTACCTGGGTGACTTCCTCCACCAGATGTACCTGGGTGACTTCCTCCACCAGATGTACCGAGGTGACTACCTCCACCAGATGTACCTGGGTGACTTCCTCCACCAGATGTACCTGGGTGACTTCCTCCACCAGATGTACCTTGGTGACTTCCTCCACCAGATGTACCTGGGTGACTTCTTTGCTGTCGACAAAAGCCTCAGTGATGCTCTTTCCCGGTTTCTTCCCAGTGATCTCTAGCGCAGAAAAATGTACAGGGAATCCTCAGCATTTCATCTCCGAGAAGACCCACACAATCCTTCTTAGCGCCGCCTCGTATTTTCTTGGTAGACCACCTAACAGCGCCTATCGGAGGAATTACCTACCATAATCATTTTCTCCCCTAATATGACCGAAGCATGTTCACTGCGCAGATATTTGTAAGGACGATATCTTGATATACCACTACTCATTTCGTGTCCAACAAGGTATCCTGCATTGA